GATTTATAACACCAACTGTTCTACGGTAAGCTTTATTTTTGTTTAAGGGCAATGCAGGATGGTCCTCTTTCCATGGAAGCTTTACATGGTACCGATTGTCTTGAAATCGTATGGAATCCTTCTGATATGATAGCTGAAAGTTCTGATTACTTGATTCCTCATACTCTTTCTCAGTTCCAATTGCCTCAATCTGCCAAAACTTCTCAATATTGTGCTCCTCCATTTTGTGTGACACCATAACATTCATCATTGATGTGTTGTATTCAAGTGCATGGGATTGTGATCCATATAATGGTCCAGACAGTAAATATCCCAGTTTAGATTTGATGGCGGTTGGACCCTTTCCTCTAATTATCTTATCCTCCACCAAATTCCAGTACTGATCTGCTCCAATAAGTAATTCAATTTGGAATGCCTCCTCTTGTGCAACAGGATGTGCCAATCTCAAATTCCTCAAATACGATAATTTTGCTGCATTTTCTACATGCGTTTTAATTGGAGCTGCTATCTCTGGGACCACTAAGACTTTGACAGGTATTTCTTCTCTCTGTATAGTTTGGACCTTGACTACAGCTGTCTGCAACTTTTGAACTTTCTCTTTTCCTGATTCTCCAAATCCAAGAATGTTGATATTCTCATATCCTGTTGGTGTTAATTCTATCTTGTCAGCCAAACTCCTGGAGATGAATGATCTTTGAGCTCCTTCATCAAACAGAATATTAGCATCAGTTGTCAGTTTTCCAGATGTGACAGGTGCAACTGCAGTTTGTAACAAAACGTTTGGTTGATCTCTATGTGAAGATGAATGCATCACTGACGTTTCTGCTCTTTCTGTATTTTTTGCTTGAAGTGAAGGGGTACTCTCCTTGTTGCTTTTGACTACCTCGCGATTTGAACACAAACTTGTGTGATGACGTTTTTTGCAGATTTTGCAATTTGATTTGGATTGGCAGTCTGTAACACGATGTCGGCCCAAACAGTTAAAGCATAACTTGTCTCGTTTGACAATTCTCATGCGGTCAGTGCAGTTTTTGTACTTTGTACAATCATTTGAATAATGCGGCTCCTTACAATATGCACAGCATACCTGAGGTTTCCTTGGACTGAAGTTGTGTTGAACTTGCTTATGACTGGACTTTGAATGGGTATAAAAGGTTGATGTTGCGCTTGGTTCTGTTGCATCAATACCTGCTCCAGCTTCTAATATTTCGAGTTCCCTGTAAAGACTGTTTCTCAAATCACCTAATAACCAATCAGTAGAGCCATGTTCACGTGCCAAATTCTTGCGTATTTCAGTAGGTAATTTGTTCAGAATCACAGGTACTAGAAGAGAACCGTATGTATCTTGAGCTTGTCCGTAGGATTCTAAACCTCTGACATATGTCTCCACTTGGTCATGAAAATGACGCAGGCTTGTGAGATTATTCTTGGGAGTGGGTAGGTCCAAGAGCGCTTGCATGTAAGACTGAGTTATCTTGTGTTTTTGTCCAAACCTTTCATGTAGAAGCTCAATCGCTCTGTTGTAGTTTGCATGTGTGAGTGCAAATCCTGAAATGGTGTTCGATGCCTCTTCTGCTACTAAAGACTTTAAGTAATTAAACTTTTGAACTTCTGTCAACGTGTTGTTGCTATGAATAGCCGAATCGAATGAATCCCAGAATGACTGCCACTCCAACACATTTCCCTCAAAAATGGGTAAGTTTAATTTCGGAAGTTTGTGGAAGTTACCACTGTTTGGATTTGAATGAAAGCTTGTAAGGGACTGAGGAGTTCTTGAATTTTCACTGAAATTGTGTCTTGATTGACTATTCTCTTCAATTTGTGAATTTTCATTCTGGTTTGAATAAATGTTGGTTGATGGATTCAAATTTGAACGATGAACTATCAGATGTTTCTTAAATTTTCTCATTTTAGAATTAGATTGAAATTGTACTCATCTGTCTCCAGTATTTCTCTCTCAATATCCTCCTCTGCTGTTTCTGTTAGAATTTTTTCATCCAGATCTCTAAGAATTTCCTGTTTGTCCGTTAATGTCTCCAAAATTGCTTCAATTTCCTCTGCATCTTCATTTTCTTCATCCAGTCTTTTTAGAAGTCTGGTTACAGCACTTCTCTGTCCTGCTCTTACTGCCTTCAGTTTAGAAGTCATCTCTCCATCCTGGTCACGGCACCAATGTCAAGATTGTAGCACTCATAGAAAACACATCTGAACCGTATAGTGGTTTATTTGAAACTTAACAAGTATATAGCATAACGTTATAGTAACGTCTATGACGTCATCGTACTATGACGTCATAGTCCGGTAAATGTCATTAATATAATTGCATTAAATGGTAAATAGAAAAGCATTACTGTCTATAATTCGTAACAATATAACAAACTGTATTAAAGCTCATCTAAAAATGCAGATCGGAATCAGAGAAAACACAGACCTCCAAAAACATCAGCGGGGGATCAGGGGTCATAAGAGAGTGGCCATCCTCTGCTAACAGGTCACACCCAGTGTGTGCTCTTTGTCATAATCCGGAAAACAACTAAAAAGGAAAACGTAAACAATTTGTATAGATAATGACCTGACATTGAGTATGAAAAATTTCAATCTGTATTTGACTCAATGATAAGTTGTAATTGCTGGCTTGGGCATTGTGTCGACCAAAAAACTTGTCAAATAATGACTTCGAACGAGACTGTTGCTATCCTTGTTTCATCACCTTGGTTAAATCAACAAGAAACGAAAACCTCATAAGCACGATACAAATGGAGATAACGAACAGTATTGAAGATCAAAAGTCTATAAACAATACAAAATAGGAGCAGCGCAAACACGAACCTCCAAAACATCAGAGGTGAGATCAGGTGCCATGAAGGAGTGAGAATCCCCTCCCGACCGGTCACACCAGCCGTGTGCTCCTTGTCATGACCGGGAAATAACGAGAACATTCGCCGTCAATTCAGCGCATAAATAATGTACTAACATTTTGTATGAAAAAAACGTAAGTCAGCATTTGACTCAATGATAAATTGTATTTGCTGACATGGGCATTGTGTCAACTCTAGAACTTAAGAAATGATGACTTTAAACGAGACTGCTGATATTCAACAACTTTTTTGTCAATAATTTACCTGGAATTAGAAGTTGTTCATACGTAGAACATGCTCTTGCGTATTGAATCAACTGAGATATATAAACTCCATATGCAAGTGATGAAGGTATGTAGCTTGATAGAAAAGTTAACATCATTACGTTTATCATAGAACTTAGTTGTTAGATAACCATTACCTTATTTTTCAAGTTAAATAACCAAATATGAGACAGATGTGTCAGACTTTGTGGTATCGTATATCTCAAACTCACCAGACGAGTATATATCGCATCGACATAAGAATGGAAATTACCATTGTTAATTGACAATACATCGTCGATGTATCTAAATGTCGAGTTGAAGGAAACAGTAAGTATTTTCTTCTTTTCAAAATTTTGCACAAATTCTGCTTCATATGAATACAAAAATGGGTCTGCTAATAACGGGGCGCAGTTGGTACCCATGGAAATTCCAATAGATTGTTGGAAGACCTGGTCTCCAAAAACAACATACTCTAATAGATATTGCCAATCAGAAACTCAAGCATCTTTTTGATGTCAACTTCAAAGTACTTGTGTGTACAATCAGACTGTTTTTTAACAAAATAATTTTGCAAATGACCAATGATAAGGTAAGTAAATTTACGAGTTCCATCATTATTGAAAACGCAGCTGTCAGTGATATAAATTTTTTTAAAAAGTCTGGATTTTAGTTTATCGTGGGGAATGATTGTGTATAAAGTTGAAAAGTCTTAAGTTGTTAAGCTGTTGATTTTGGTAAAATCGTGTGATTTTAAATTTTCCAAAAGTTCCTTGGAATTTTTTAAAAAGTATCAACATCTGATATACACCACTTCTTGAATATATTGTTGCACAGTACTCTTGCAGTATATCCTTTAATATCTTAGTGAGGAGTAAAGAAAAAAGCTTGGTTGAACACGGGTTGGTTACAGGAACCCGCTATGTATCTTTAATTGTTCGTACCTGGATTTTTATGAAGTTTAGGAATCCATTATACATGTATTTACGGTAGTTCAGATTCATTTTGGTTCTTTGGGATATAAAAATCTTCGAAAGTGACATTTGATTTTGAAGAATTTTCTCTTTAGAAAGGGAGCTATAATGGGTATGAGTTGGATTACAACTTGTAGAATTTAATTCCAGTTTCTCAAAATACGAGTAAAATAATGAGCCTTACAAACAAAGACAATGTTATTACCTGCTTTGTCAGCAGGGACCAGTACGTACTGATCATGTAAGGGTATATTGCTACATTTTATTTGAAAAGTTGAAGTCATCACCTTTATCATAAATCTTTTTTTCTCAGTTTACCATCGACTTCTTTTTCTAGTAAATATCCAAAAGTGAAACGTGTCAAGCTCATTAGGTAATATCGAGTCAAGATATCAATGGAATGGAAGTACTTATTAATAATTGATAATACGTCGTCGATATACATATATAAATGGCGAGCTGAAGGCCACAGCAGGTGTCTTCTTCTCTTGTAGTTTTTAAATGAATAAAAAGATGGTCAAGGGGATTCCAACAGATAATTGGAGACCTGGTCTGCAAAAAAAAAAAAAAAAAAAAAAAAAAAAACTACATAGATATATGTATTGTCAATCAGAAATTCAAGCATTTTTATTTTTAGAATTTTAACCTCAGAGTATTTCTGTTTACAATCAGACTGTTTTATGAAATTAGTTTTACAAATAACCAATGACTGATGTATATCAACGTGTAACATTTTGAATTGAAAACACATCTGTGAAAGGCAAGAAGCCTGGATTCAATTTAGAAATAGGCCCGTATCGTTTCTTTTTTTCGACAATCAAGCTTGTTCTGAGTGTACAGATGTATCTTTAAGATGTCTCTTCTTTTAAAGAAAACTAACGCCTACTTTACCATATCCATTTTAGTTCAGGTAGCCATGGTGCCTCTTTCACGAACAACATTTCTTTTCGACAATGTGGGAATACGGAAGTATACCACAAACATCAGAGAAGTCGGCGGAGTTCGAAAGGTTGTAAAACGATGAATTTCAAAAGATCTGTAACAAACAACAAAACATATTTAAAAAAAATTATTTTTAATTTAGAAATGTAGAAAATTAAAGTCTGTGAATCGGAAAACAGTTTTGAATACTATGAAAAAACAAAATATAATAAATGGTTAAAGGCAGAGTGTCCAACCTTCCTTACCGTATGTTAAATGTTTTAAAGCTAGGTACACTGCATTTGATATTGAATCAATTTTGTTTGTTAATTTCTTTTTAAAATTTAAATTGACAATTTCATTTACATGCTTTCTTTTGAATTAAGTTCTAAAATGGGACAAGGATAACCTGACCTGGGGTGTTGTGAGATACTCGACAAAAATCAGACCTCTTTTTCAATGGTAAGTTGTTGTTTTTTTTTTTTTGAAATCTCTAATTGTATTTATTTAAAGAACATAATTCTTTCATCGATATCCTCATTGTAAAATAAGCATTTATGTATATGAATTTTTTACAATTTTCTGTTATAATGTAAAAAGTTGAAGATGACAAACACTGATCAATCTCATAAACCCTGTCTGAGAGAACAAAACGAATCCGTGATCAGGGCAAAAACACGAATCGTGAACCGGGCAAAAACACGAATCGTTATCAGGGCAAAAACACGAATCGTTATCAGAGCAAAAACAAATCGTGATCAGGGCAAAATCACAAACCGTGATCGGGACAAAACACGAATCGTGATCAGGGCAAAAATATGAATAGTTTTTCAGGGCAAATCACAAATCGCAAAAACTGTGCTAGAGACATCAGAGAGGAGACCATATCCAAATACCATAAAATGAGAATAGCCTTAAGTCAAAATTTTAAATTAATATGATTTCAAAAAAAAAATTTGATAATGAAACAAAATTTTCAACATGAGTTTGAATTTGTGTATAGAAATAAAAATCTGTAGGTTTTTATGCGCATACGTTTAATAAAACTTGAGATATAAAAAATAATCGAAATTTTGACATGTCTGTTCTCAATTCACGGTCTTGAGGAACCTACACTGTAGGAGGAGATAGCATCCCCTGTCGATAGGTCACATCCACTAGGAGCCCTATGTATTGATCAGGTAGTCAGGTTACTCCGTTAAGTTAAACTAAGCGATAAAAAGAAAATTAAACATGTCAAACAAGGTACCATTCAACAACAGGGTGTATTTCTAGAGAAGGTTATTAAAAGGGCCGTTGTTTTGCAAAATGTTTACCTTAAACGGAGTTGTTTAAATTCTTTTAACTTCAACTAATTTGACAACAGCTGCCTTGGTAAAAAAAAAAAAAAAAAAAAAACCTGCATGCTTTTGCGTATCGAATAAAAATTTACACGAAATGCTATTGCATGATAATATATACGTATAAAAGAAATGTACAATAAACAGATATTTTTTTCTTTAGAAACATAATCTTTGCATATAAATTATTATAATCTTTTCGTATAGGAGAACATTCCAAAAAGCATTCAGAATATGGGCTAGACATTCCAATCTACGATTTAAATATTCTCACAGAAAACCAGATATAAAGATTTTATTTGCTAGACTGGAACATGGTGATGGTGATTACAATGCATTTGATGGTAGAGGTAAATCAGTCAATTTTTGATCTACAACATAAAATAAAAATGTCGTTGCTTTTGATGCATGATAGATTGCTTATATACGTTCTTTTCATGTTAATGTTAACGTGTTTTATCTTAAGGATTCGATAATTATTAATATGTGTAGTTTTCTGTATTTCAAAAGTCCTTGTTTCACTGTAGGAAAGCGGCTGACCATAGTATATATTACGGTCATCAAAACATGTCGGCCGAGGTCACCAGTTAGAATTTTTCAGTCAAGATTTCAAACATTTTTCAGGTTATCTGTGTTAATTCTTGCAAAATTTAAATGTACTCTAATGAGAACTTGCTATTGGTTATTATAACTTACTTGAATTTAAGGAAATAAAGCTGTAGTACGACCTCAAAGTTTTTGACAGTGATGACCGTAACAAACACACTCAACAAAGTAGATGACGACCGTAATATAATTATAGAGATGACCGTAGTATATTTACTAAATCATTTGAGACGCATATCTTATTCAATATCAGTACTAGATGTTCAATACAGATTACATTTTACAAGATCTATATACTAATTAGTATGGAGGTCATAAAAAAAGAACTGAAAGGTTTTAAATATGATTAATTTAATACTTATTGATAAGAGAAGCCACGGTTGATTCAGACTGTTAAACAAAGTATATATGAAAAAATCTTGAAAAAAGTAACACTTCTCTTCGACCTTATTTTATCTTTTCTCTGTATTATACATTATTTATATAAAAATAATTACTAACAATTGCGACTATCAAAGTTTATTTTGCATTCTTCAGGAATAATATTAATGCGACCATCACTAAGTCCTTCTCCTTTAAAGCCTCTGAAAAAAGACAAACCTCGCCCTTCAAACAGTTTTGCAACCAAAATGATAGTGAATCATCACTTTATCTCATGTTATCAACCGCCTTTTTTTTTATATCAAGCAACAAGTGGAGTGCAATGTTAATGCCTTATATGGCGTTTCTGATGTTTTTCATTAATGTTTTCCTGACAACATCAGGTAGAACACTGTAAATTTCACTGTGTTCTGTGTTAGTCTCAGCATCTTGTCCAAACTCTCATTGCTGCTGACGTTTACTTTCATGAACTTCAATTTTTTTACTCTCAACATTTACACTCACTCTATGGCGGATCCAGAAATTTTGAAAAGGGGGGCCCGACCAGTTTGAGGTCAGGGTAGGGGCCCACAACCACACCAAAAACACATTGATTTATCAAATATTGTGTATTTTTGGACACAATGGGGGGGGGGGGGGGGCGTGCCCCTGCCCCCCTTTCAATCCACCAGTGTCACTGTACGAGGGCTGTTCAATAAATAATGTCCTGAGCTGTATGACATACAATACAGTTATAATATGACATTAAGCTTGCCTTTCTCTCATTATTAAATCTTTAATGAATTTATAACAGTTTTTTGTGCCCACATTTTCATCACATAGTTTCATTGTGAGAAGCTGGAAAACAAGGACTATTCGAGACACTGCGTTATAAATGAATGGTAAAGAATAAGACTAGAGTGAAAATGAAAACCTTATTAAAGCTGCTGTAAAACTTGTTAAAAATCCCAAAGAAATATTCACTGAAATATGTAACATTTACAGCAACCAATGCCTGTTTTACAAACAAATGAGCAGGTGGGTTTCAATAATAAAAATTATATAATGGGCATCAAAAATGGGTACCGTCCTTGACACAAAAATATAACAACTTATGTACTGTTTGCCAAATTTCAACAAATAATATTTGATGATATATGACTGACTTTAAGAAACATAGCAAATTTGATAGACATCATTTCGGGAGTAGTTTACACTGTTTTTAAGAAACGTTTGACGGTAAAAAAGCTTAGTACTCAAAGGTCACCCTATATTTTGAGAAATGAGTGAAAACGACAGCGTGTAGAATGCCTTAACAATTATTTTAAAATATCAGTAATTGTAGTTATCCACGCTTGTTTGATATTCAAACAGATGATGGAACTTGAATCTATTGCTGAAAACCCCCAAAACAAAATCCACCGTAAGATATACTTGATAAAAACAGCGAAGGTCTGACAAGATCAAAGAATTGCAAGAGCACAAAGACAGATTTATATGCAATTTTCCTAAATATTAGTAGTATTGTTGTTCAAATTCGTATTCGGGGAGACAGTTTAATTTCTGGAAGAGGCTAGAAAGCAATTTTTTTTGCAAAAAATCGAAAGGTTTATTAGAGGAAGGACCCAAAATCATGGCAGCGTCCAAACCCGCACGCCCTGGAGAGTAAAGGGGTTTTCGAGATAAACAGAAAGTTAATGGTTTTTCACATTAACAATATTAGCCAGATCTTCGACCTTTTGACTTGTTTCTATTTCCAAACTTGAATAAAACACCTTTCAGAAGGAAGAAGCAAGTCCAGGAAATCATTGGATCTGCCATTTTCCAGTATACTAAGGGTCATACCCAAAAATGAGTTCTAAAAACAATCAGAAATTGGATAAAAAATGTTACGGACATATGTTTTAATTAAAAGAGATTAATAAGTTAAATCATGAAGACTAAATCATTGAAAAGCGTCTTTTGCTTCTTTCCAAGCACCGAGGACATTATTTATTGAACAGCCCTCGTATATTCATTATAGATTTTTTCCTTAAGTTCAGATAAGTATATATAGGAAAATGAATAGATTTCTGCGTTAAGTTCTAATTTATGTATGCTGAATTTTTTCGCTTCCAAATGGTGATATATCCTATGTATGGCACGCCAAATTCACAAAAATGAGCTAAACACAGTTTTACAGTTGATAAACTAGGTTTATCGACTGTAAACTATAGTTTACAAACCGTGAACTTCATCTGTAAAACAATATTTAACGGTTGTTAACTATACATGTAGTTTACGAATGGTAATCTAAGTTTATCTACCTGTAATAAAGTGTTAACAATAGATTTTGTTGATAAACATAGATTCACGTTTGTAAACTATAATTTACAATCGTAAACTATAGTTAAGATTTAATAATCATAGTTTCACAAATCGTGAAACTATAAAACTATAGTTTACAAGTGATAAACCTAGTTTATCGACTGTGAAACTATGTTTAGCTCATTTTTTGTGAATAAGGCGTGCCATACCTATGGTTCAAAATTTACATTAACATCTTTGTCTTTTTTAACACAAAAATAACATGATATGTCTGCCTCTACAACAGAAAGAAAACACATTAAATTATATTTATGTATATAGCGGTCATCCTACTTCACTGGAAGAATCGATATAACGGTCATCTTAATATTTTGTTACGGTCATCACTGTCAAAAACTATGAGGTTGTACAACAGCTTTATTTCTTTAAATTCAAGTAAGATATAATAACCAATAGCAAGTTCTCATTAGAGTACATTTAAATTTTGCAAGAATTATCACAGATAATCTAGCAAATGTTAGAAATCTTGACTGAAAAATTCTTACCGGTGACCTCTGCCGACATGTTTTGATGACCGTAATATATACTACGGTCAGCCGCTTTCCTACAGTGTGTTTAGGAAAAACAAACTAAAAAGTTTAATGCGCGTCTTTAACGATTTGAGATTTATGAAGCGCGTACTTTTTTCAACTTAATTGCTATTTCAAGCATGCATTTTCGTTTCGTTAAAGACATGTCGTTCTGTTATTTCACACAATATTTCAGGTTTTATGCCGTTTTCCGATCAGTTTTATAATAACAATGACTAGTATCAATTCCCTGAAATCACAATCTTATCTGATTTCCTTTATTAATTAAGGAAAGCTTTTAGGACACGCCTTCCTACCTGCCAATGGGGGAACCCATTTTGATGACGACGAACGATGGACCTTAAAAGGTGGTAACTTTTCATTTGACCAGATTCATTTACCCACAGTGGCACTTCATGAAATTGGACACGCACTTGGGCTAGAACATATTTCTCCTCGACTAGCAGTTATGTCGCCATATTTTACAGCTGTGAAAATGAAACTGACATCTGATGATATCGCTCAATTACGGGAACTTTATGGTAAGTTAAAGTGCAAAGAAAAAATGTCTAAAATATATACATGTATAGTAGTTTATTTAGTAAGTAAACGTTTTTAAAGGTGAAAATAATCACATCACATTTTTTGCATGGGGTCATGATTCAACCCAGACTTCTGTTGTATCCCTGAAAATCTCGATATTCATTACCTTTTGAAAAGCCTAGGTGATTCGGGGTTTTCATAGTTAAAAAATCAAACATGAACAAAACTAGGGAACTGATACCAAATCAATGCACGTGTTACAAGTTTGTCAACAAAGGGGTTAGGTGATTGGTTCAGAGATATGAAAAACAGTTTAGATTTGTTATTTCCTCAAAAGACTTTGCTACATGCAGTTGCATCACGTTGCACTGCGGTTAAAATTTGTATTTTGCGCCATATTATTTTTTGATGAATACAATTAAGTTATATTTTTACTGTCATTACACATGTTACAGCACTTTTTTTTTTAAAAATAAAAGCTTTGTTTTAATTTTAGATCGTAGAAGACCAGTACCACAGAAGCGGAAGTTTAAAGAAACATTTGTAACTTTATCACCACCTACTACAGAGGAAGTGGACAATGCAATAGATTCTTGCAATGGGATTCGTGATCTTACAAGTGTGCCGAATCGTAAGAATATCATGATTTTTCCTGTTACATGTAGAAGCATTGCGATATTATCAGTTAGTTATAACCGAAAGAGAACTGTAAATTACTAGTTCTCTTCATCTGAAAGAGGTTAAGGTAAGGGTTACAAGCGAAATATTTGTCCATTATTCTAGCTCTGTCTTCAAAGGTTAACTATAATGTATCATAATGTATGATAAAAATGCTGTAGAGTGAAATAGGGAGATAGCGAACTTCATACAAGCTGAAAGTCGATTTAAACCGCGCAGATCGGGAGCAAACAACCACATACATCTAAAAAGATCAGAGGTGGATGTATCTGGGATCAGGTGCCGTGAGGTAACATCACCTGCCATTCGATCACACCCGCTGTTCGATCTTTGCAATGATCGGGGAAAATGAAAAAAAAATGCGTATTCAAGTATTCAATTCGGTGTCTAAACAATGAACTATCAATTAGTGTAAAAAATAATTTATCGCCATATGACTCAATGATAAGTTGTATTTGCTTGCAAGATCATTTTATTGACCCCCCCCCCCCCAAAAAAAAAAAAAAAAAAAAAAAAAAACGAAAACGAGATGGTGACTTAAAAGTAACGATACCGTTTAAATCCTTGATTAATCAATTTGTTTGTCATTTTCTTGCCTCTTTTAAGAAATTGTTCGTTTACGTAGATGATGTTCTTCCGTATCGAATCATCTGAGAGAAATAAACCCAATGTGCAAGTAATAAGGATATATTGCTACTCAAGAAAGGAAAGTTGACGATTTAAAGAATCAAGTCATCATCTTTAGTAAAATCTTCAAATATGAAACAGATGTGACAGAATATGTGGTATTTTTTATTTCAAACTCACTGGGATACACAAAGTCGACACATGCATGGAAATAAATATTGTGAATTGATACTATGTCATCGATATATCTAAATGCCGAGTTGAAGGGTTTTAATCTTCTCATGTAGAAGGTTAATTTTAGAATAAATTCTGCCTCGTATGAATAGGTAAATCTACTAATAATGAGGCGCAATTGATACACTTTGGAAATTCAAAAAGATTGTTGTAAAAACTACATACTGTCAATCAGAATCTCAAGCATTTTTAATATCAACTATAGAACGTTTGTGTAGAATCAGGAAAATCCCTCTAAAATAGGACCTTTCTTGGTCATAATTCTTATTCCCCCTTCGAAAAGCTACGACATATTGCTTTGCTTGTGCGTGTCAATCAATCGCTCGTTAGGTTGATCCGTCAGTTTGTCGGTCCACCAACAGTTTCCGCTTATTTTCTTCGCAGAGGTTGCACATACTGAAATGAAGTTTGGTATACAGATTAAACGTAGGAATATCTAGATCAAGGCTTTTTTTCTGAGTACGATCGAGCAATTTTGAACAGAGTAATGGACTTAGAGAAAAAATCCAATTATTAAGGGGGGAGCATAAGTGTTTTACAAACATCTCTTTTTTTAAATGGAGGCATTCCTAGGCTGTAAAGATTAAATAAAATGGAATCATAGCTAGGATTACAAAAATGAATCAAGTTTTGACATTAAACCTTCTAAAAAGCAGGTGGACAACAATAAAAATCATTTTTCTAGAATTAAAAAATAGTACTAAATTTCAAATGGTTTAACTCTAGCTTTGGGGATGGAACCGTGAGACATGAGTAACAAGAATAGCCGAATAAACAAACTCTTAGATATTTTCAAACATTACCAAATCATTGATTTATTTTCAAATTATGTTAAAGAAAGTCTTAGACTGAAATTTCAGTAACGTATTTTCAGGAAATGGACGCAACGAACTTCAAATTTTTGCCGGAAACTTAACGTTTAAAGTCAGTTCTTCCGGAAAGAAAATCAAATCCACCTTGTGGACTTCCGACATCTACAGAGGCGTTCCTAGTGACGTTGATGCCGCTAGTTTTTACAAAGAAACTGGGACACAATATTTCTTCAAAGGTACCCTGTCTTTTTCTTTGTTTTCCAGAGACAATGAGTATCTTTTTCAATTTGGTTAGGAAGAAACAATGCCAGACGTTGTATAGGGTCCACTATTTTAAAGCACTCTTAAATATATCAGTTTACATTTACAAACATTTGGATTTATTTACTACTTTCATAAGGACAAGTTTCAGAGTTTATACAGTCTTTTTTGAAAGAATACAGCACATATACATATTAATGCAGTCCTTTGACTTTTCTAGATGTTGAATCATATTAAACAAATTCTGTCGCAGAATATTTTTCTGTAAAAGCTGCTATTTTAATTCCCGTACTAAAAAGCAAAGCAGACATTTTATTCCTCATATATACAAGTCATCTTTATGAAAAAACAACATTCAAAGTAAAATTTAATATGTTACATTAAATTTGAAATGGAAAATATGAAAAGGAAATAAAGGCTGCATTCAGATTTAATTTAACATATAAACAATATAAATCAGGAGAAGAACTATCACGAACCTCTTAAACACCAGAGATGGGATCAGCTGCCATAGAAAAATAAACATCCCTTGTCGATCGATCACGCCATAATTCTTTTGAACCTATAGTGCAATTATTAATTTACAGATATCTCTAATTCGATTAGACACATCTTTAATACAGTCTTATTTATCTTTAATTTATTTGTAGTTAGCTATAATTATTTGAAGATAGATTCAAATCTATGAAGTTAAGTACAAATCTTTGAATCTGTATTACTGTAAATTCCTAATTTAACGCGAGGAAATAATTATCGCGTAATTTCGCGAGAAGCGTCACTCGCGAATTAAAACTACTCGTTTTTATTTTAATGATGTTGAAATCTATGTAATATCTCTTGATAAACCAACCATTCGCGGATAATTATTCTCGCGATATGACGTTGAAGAGCCCATTCGCGATAATAAGTACTCACGAAAAATAAGGAATCTACAGTAAGGAGATGGGTGAACATGACGAGAGATAAGCCCATAGCGCAACAAACATGAAGGTCAAAAATTAAATCTCAATTATATCAAAATTTTCCTTAATATTTCATCTACCATTAAAGTCTACTTTATGTAAAATCTTTACAACTTGCACAAATCTCATGAAGATTGAAGTTATTTGCCTATGAAATATATATTATACACACACGAAAGAAGAAAAACGAGTCATTTTTTCACACTATAACACTATTTTTCGATATGAGTGGGTCTTCTCTCCATTTTTTTGAAAGTTAATCCTCAAAGTTTGCATACAAACATACATACATTATATTTTGGTTTTCAAAATTATGGAGCAAAGACCCACTATACCTTAAAAATATAATTTTATGACATAACATTCGTATCTTTTCGAGAAATACTTGAAGTCCCTTAAGTCAATGGTCTTTTCACAAGCATGATTTAATTAAATGCCACACTCCGTCAGGACTTGTGAAGCGTAGTGGGTAGCGTGCTAGTCTCAATAGAGAATGCAACTCAGGATTTTTATTGCCAGGGTTCGAACCCAAAGATACCACATTATTTTTTTTATATATATAAAAGAATCAATTTTAACGAAAAATTTTCCTCCAATCTTTTTTGTTTATTATGATTTCATAAAAATCAATGATGAGAACTTCACTCTAAATACTAAATTCACAATTTGGATATGATTTTTATATCTGAACCTAGTGGCTTTCTGCACGCTAAGTTCACCCATCTCCTTTGCGTTCCATAGAATCAATCTGATGATATTTGATTTAGTTGACCTTATTACAATTTAAATTTTAGGAAAAGAGGTTTGGAAATTTCAAGAACATCACATAGTTGCAGGATTTCCAAAGACTGTAAAAATGCACAGAATGTATGAAACTCCTCGTGCAAGCGTCTCGGTTACTCTTTGGCATTCTACCAGACTCTTTATATTTGGGGTAACATCCAATGCTTTAAACGGAGATCAACGTCGAATAATTTGTATTTGATTTTTTGTGTCTGAATATACTGATTTAATCCTACTTTTATATTCTTAATGAAAACTAAGCAATAAAAACTAGATTTTGAAATAAAATCCAACCATTCTGCAGAAACATAATTTAGAAAACCTGAAGCAACAATTTTAATATAAGTGATTTTTAAGTAATTCAATGATATTACACTCAAATAAATCGAATGAAGTCCTAGCGGGTATGTTTCTTCACAATCTGTTTTATATGCTTTATAAAAATTTAGAGAACATAAAGCAACAATTTTAATTAAAACGATTATGTAGCAATTCAATACTGTTACTCTCAAATAAATCGAATGAAGTCCTTTGTTTTTTCCAATTAACCTATCTGTTTTATATGCTTTATAAGAGCCACACCTATTGGGAATGGAACCCTGAAACAGATGATACCAGAACAAGGAAACCTAAACCTATATACAGGCATTGGCGGGGTCTCCCGGACAACGTAGACGCAGCCATTCAATGGAGAGATCGATATCTCTACTTCTTCAAAGAAGGACAGTAAGTGTAAAACAAAAAAAATGAATAATACGATAAACTTGTGTTTTGAGGATGTGTGATGTCCATGCATTCTGAGAAGGACAGTATTTCTCAAAAAAAAAAAAAAACCTAAAGCTCAACATTAATGAACATGAAAATGCTTTTGTCTATATCATATATATATATATATATATATATATATATATATATATATATATATATATATATATATATATATATATATATATATATATATATATATGTGTGTGTGTGTAAAGATCATTTTTTCATTTTGGAAAAAAATAGAATTACAAGTCTGATTTTTTACAAAAGTTTTCGGGGATTTAAAAATTGTGAATGACTTTCCATACTAGTTGTTAGACCATTATCGACACATTGAATTGTGGACGGATTTTTCCGTTTTTTGGCCATCATGAAAAAAAGAACACGGTGGGTTTCGAATACGAAGTTAATAATTAACAAACAAATTGATGAAACAAGAAAATAAACAGTCTCATTTAAAGTAATATTTTCATTAGTTCTATGGTCGATACAATGACCTTTTCAGCAAACAGAATCTATCTTTAAGTCAAATACTGATTGACGTTTTACAGTCCATTATAAGTCTGAATTTATTTTTCCCGATTATAACAAGGAACCTACGGTTGGAATGACCGGTCGGCAGGGGGATGCTCACTCCTACATGACCTCTGATTCATCTGATGTTTTAAAGGTCCGCGTGTTCTCTGGTCCCGATTTGTATTGTTTTAGTGGACTTATGAACTTGAATAACTTGCGTTATTTTCATATTTTTAATTTAAATTACAGATCTCAAAGGGAAAAGTATTTAACTAAAATGCAGTTTGACAACTTGGAAGGTTGCTTGAAAATTAAAATAATACTATCAACAAAAAACTTATACTAAATGACCTAAACAGCTATCAGGCAACATAACATTTTTGTTTCCAGGCATTTTTATATTCATCCACAAGTGTTGATTCGAGATATTTAGTTTCATAAAGAGTACGAATAAAATTTTCATAAGCCATTGTGATTCGAACAAAAGTTTTTAGACAAATCTTTCTAGCTATAATTAGCTTACCTGAGCTGAAGGCTCAAGTGAGCTTTTCTGATCAAAATTTGTCCGTTGTCTGTCGTTGTTGTCGTCGTCGTCGTAGTTGTTGTTGTTGTTGTTGTTGTCGTAAACTTTTCACATTTTCATCTTCTCAAGAACCACTGGGGCAATTTCAACCAAACTTGCTACAAGGTATCCTTGGGTAAAGGGAACTCAAGTTTGTTCAAATGAAGGGACACACCCTTTTCCAAGCGGAGATAATTATGAATTAGAGGAAAATTAATGGCATTTAAAAAAAATCTTCTTCTCAAGAACCACTGGGCCAGGAAAGATGAAACTCATGTGGAATCATCCTCAGGTAGTGTAGATTCAAGTTTGTTCAAATCTTGACCCCCGGTGGTAGGGTGGGGCCAAAATGGCCGATCAAAGTTTTACATAGGAAAAATCTTTAAAAATCTTCTTCTCAAGAACCATGGAGACAGAAAAGATGAAACTCATGTGAAATCATCCTCAGGTAGTGTAGATTCAAGTTTATTCAAATCATGACTCCCGGGGGTAGTGTGGCCATAATGGCTGATAAAAGTTTTACATTTGAATGTATAGGAAAAATCTTTAAAAATCTTCTTCTCAAGACTCACTAGGCCAGGAAATATGAAACTCATGTGGAATCATCCTCAGGTAGGGTAGATTCAAGTTTGTTCAAATCAAGACCCCCGGGGATAGGGTGGGGCCAAATGGCCGAAAAAAGTTTTACATAGGAATATATAGGGAAACCTTTTAAAATCTTCTTTTCAAGTACTTCAAAGGTATGCTTAGTGATATTTAGAGTGAATCATCCTCAGGTAGTGTAGATTCTAGTTTGTTCAAATCATAACCCCTTCAAGCCCCCCCCCCCCCCCAACCTCAGTAAACTTTCAGTTCTGATCTGATCTGTGCTTTTTCCTAGCCAATTGCTCAGGTGAGCGATGTGGCCCCTGGGCCTCTTGTTTTTACTTGTACTAGCATTTTAAAATAATGACAATAACGGACCAAATATTATAAGGATTCCCATTTCTATGAATATTGTGCACCAAAAACTTTTTTTTTATGTTAATAGCAAAATGACTTGATACTTTGTATGTTTTAGATACTACAAGGTTCACCCCAGCAGAAAAATGGTCATATACGGTTACCCCAAACCAATGCCTCCACCATGGCTAAGAAGATTTTGTCAAAATAAGAAAAGCTAATCAAAAGTTATGAGATCGTAATGACTGTCAGATTTAGCGACTTTCATAAATAAAGTTTTTTTATTCCTCTGTTGTTTTTTTTTTAATTTCATTGATTTGACTTCTCTTGGGAACCACAGAGACGACTTGATGAAACTTGATAGAAAAAATATTTGAGTATATGGGAATTGGTGAATGTTTGTGTCCACTTTAAAAATCAACGGTCGATAATTACGAAATTCTAATAAGAGAAATATATATAATGCACATCATTTTCAAAACGCCCAATTTTTTCAAAATAATTAGGGTACCCATCTCTTGTCCACAACTCCTTTACAACTGAAAAAATGAAACTCTCAGAAAAAAATATTACACATGTCTTTATACCTTTTACTTGAAATTGGACATTTGTTCTAGCCAGTCAGCTACAGTTTCAAAGTTTTTCCAATAAAGCATACAGACTGAATTAAATTGACTTGCTCCTGTAGCATTTTATTGTGTATACATACAAAATGAAATGCAAGATTTGTGAAAATCAATGTTCACAAACAAAACAACACCCCAATTAGTTTCACAAATGAATGACGAATTCTCTATATACTCGCAGTTTTGACTTTTCATTGATTTAAAAGAAAAAAAACCTGACGGTAATATAATAACAGCAGATAAGAGATTTGATAATTCCCATTATTGATTATTCTTAATTATACGATATCAAAAAACAAGAATATTAACAATGTATTGTTCTCCGACATGCATTTAATCACAGGAGAATAAAGCATATTAATCTTCACACACTGCTCGTTAACAAATCTCAAAATCTTCATTTAATACTTTTCAAATTTTCAAACGGAGGCGGGGGAGAATATTTATGAGATATTAATGTTTCATGAATTTAGATGATGTATCTACTATCTAAGTTCTAATTAGGTTTAGAAATAATGCATAATAAGAGTTCTCAAGTAACGAGATCTTCGGTGTTCCACAAATCATCGTTTTTTATTCACTCTTCATTTTAACATGCCTGTCTTTGATTTCAGTTTGATTAAAACCAACCCTTACCCTTGATTATTTTTGTGGTGTGGGAGAGAAATAAATTGAGGGCAACTGGGAGAGATGATTAAAAGCCGATTTCTTTGTTTTTATCCCGTTTGTGTGAGCGGGAGAGTCCGGTTCGAATCGGAGATCGGAATTTCCCTGCTCAATTCTGAAGCCACAGTCCAAAAACGAAATACAGAGTAGACTTACATGCAGTAAATACATGTAATACTGTCTTCGAAATAGTTTTTTATCGTTCATACGAAACCCTGAGAAAAACCTTTTCTGATTTTTATGTTAATAGCTTTATGAACATTTCAGCAATGTTTTGTACTTTCTCATATAATAGAAATGCTAGCAAATTGGAGATGATTATATAAGCATCCATATAATATTTGTACAGTGTATCTAATTATGAAAGTTTTCAGAAATGTAAAATTTGTTTTTGACATAAACATATGGGGTTTTTGCATAAGAAACGTTATTTGATGAATATAATCGTTTTTCCCTCCAAAAATAGTATCATATATTACATCGAACGAAAATACATAGATTAGTTATAGCTTGAATGAGTTGAATGAACCAAATAACCTTTGACATTGGTTTTACCGATTTTTTTCTCTCATCCAAACTACAAAAACAAATGCTGGGGATGATACAAAATTAACCTCCCCCTCTTTTTATTTCCCATTGTGAAACTTGTGCGCGTTGAAATATCGAACACTGATTGTTTTTATATTGAACAATGTCTATGCGTCATTCTCTTTGAAATATAGTAACTGGACATTTGAGAGAATCCAAATTTGTACTTCCTATTGATTCTTACACAATTTTGAAAAATGTGTGTGTCCAAATTAATTTAAAATGTAGAAAAACTACCAAATGCCACAGGAAATTAATCAATATGTTTTTATCTAGACTGCATACATATTAAATGTAGATTACCGAACTTAAATTATCCAATGAAAGCTGATCATGTGTAAATGATGGGATATATATACGATTTTTCAAATATGCGCAAGAAGATCCTGCAGTATGAAGATGAAGCTTACAGAGATATGTCTTCTTCTCTTCTCCCATTTGTTAGCAGAAGGCCAACGATTTGAAGAAAAGCTAAATAGTTTTGGGAGTGATGTTGGTGCTAAAAACTCTGTTGATTCTTCTATTTTGGAATTAAGTTATCCAATGCAACGAGAACAGGAAAATGCCAATCTTTTTAGCACCTCCTTACGAAAGAGAAAAGAGTCAGTCCTGAAGCGAGGCCATACCTTCAACCCGTGGGGAGGAAAAAGATCGCTTGCCAAAAGAAAACGTTTAGTGTTTGGAGAATCTAGAAACACTTTATTGCCAAATGAGAATTTCAAACCTACGCTTACTGTTTCTTTTGGAAAGAATTTCAAAGATTGGGATTATCCAAAAACTATAAAGAATAAAGATAGATTCTCTTTTCGAGAATTGGAAGACTCTTCATATAAAATTGATTGGAATAGAAACAAAGCGAGAAGTTTAGATGATCAGGAAAGACGCAAAGCACCAAAAAAGATCCAACAGTCAATCGACCAAAACAGAAAACCAAAGATCTTATGGGTTCCTATAAGTGAGTTGGAAAAAAGACCTTTCAAATCCTTGGATGATGAAAAACAAAACGGCGATGACTCATCGTGTGAAGAAAGGAGATCATTCGACAGAAGAAATGCAATTCAGGGGAACAGCAGAGGTAAACCAGTGTTCAGTTCATGGGGTGGAAGAAAATGAACAAACTTCTTCAGACTTGCAAGCGCAAACAGGACTATTTTGTGAAACATTTTGCTTACAAAACCAATATGTAGTCCAACACTGATCTACTGAACGCTTCACATATGTACAGTAGAGACACACAGGATCCTTTGTACTATTATTTCTCAAAGACATCGGGACCGATAGACGTTTTGAACTGTAATTATTTAAAATCTTGTCGGTGTAGACAGGTGTGCTTTTGTTGGCTTAGCCAGTAAAACTGTAAACAAAACCTTTTATTATCTAACAGAAAGACATTCATATTCTTTTTATTAATCTTGTTATTCCCAGGACAGCCCTCATCCAGGTTCAATCTTTGCTTAAATAAGGATTTTTATAACCTTGTGAAATATTCCAAAAGCGGACCTTCCATAGGAGACATTTGATCAAAATGCCTTTAAATTGACCCGAGGAGGATTTACAATATTATTTACATTATTTACATTTTACATGAAAACAATATTAGAAATGATATTCACTTTTTGTCAGCTTTTTGTCACGCATTTTGTTTTAAATTTTAAATATTTCTATCAGCCTTTGTATTTTTCGGTATCTCGCTCAGTGAAAACAATTCTAAAACCAACAGATAATTAACGAAAAAAAGATAACACATGTAGGAAAATCGGTATATTCTTGTGAATTCATTATGTGTATGAACTTTTAAAAAAATAATGACAATTTTTATTTTACTTTTGTTAAAATAATATTTATTGTATATGTATCAATTTGTGAACTTTTTGTTTTGTTTTTTCCAGGCTATCTTTATTTTTTCATTGAGTTTTAAAATACACTTGTTTGAGAATTAAATACTTGTCTTCTGTAATTTAATTGTTGTCTTTTATTGAAAGCAATGGTGGAGATTTTATATGAACAATTAAATTGTCAAATATTGGGACTGACAGTACCATCTCTAACCTACTATTTCATAAACATAGCTGATATATATAAATACAGTTGTCAATGCGACTGAATGTATACCTTAAACTTTTGAAATTATGGCCTCTGAAAGAATATTCAAATTGCCAAGGTCATCCTTAAAAAAAGGTCTTCATTTTTTTCAACGTCATTTTTTTCTATTTTTAAACAAACAATATTGTTAGTAAAGTGAGATATATAGAGATAACGAACAATATTCAAGCTCAAAAGTCCTTAAAACAATACAAAATAGGAGCGGATCAGAAAACGGACCTCCAAAACAAGGTGGGATCAGGTGCGCATTCTCCGCTGAACGGGTCACATCCGCCATGTGCTCTTGTCATGATATGGAAAAAACAGAAAACTCCGTCGTCACTTCAGTGTGTTGTCATGTTGTAAATTTTGAACTTCCCGGGTGGCAGTTAATACAAAATTTACAACATGACAACTGTACAATAAGTATGAAAAACGTCAGCCAGCAATAGACTAAATGGTAAATTGAATTTGCTGATAAGGTCATTGTACCGACCAAAGAGTTTAAGAAATGATGGCTTTAAAGGAGACTGCTGATATTTTGGTTTCATCTACTTGTTTGTCGATAATTACCTCGTTTAGAAATTGTATTTACAAAGAACATGCTATTGCGTATCGAATCAAATAAGAGATATAAACCTCGTATACAGGGGATGAAGGTATATTGCTGCATAAGTAAGGGAAGTTGACGATTGAAAAGTTAATGTCATCACATTAAACATAGACCTTGGTCGTTAAATTACCTTAACTTCTTTTTCAAATAAAATATCCAAATATAAAAAAGACGTGTCAGATTCTATTGTAACGTTTGTTTCAACGTCACCAGGATCGAATGGAAATAACCATTGTTAGTTGTTAGTTGACAATACGTCGTCGATATATCTAAATATCGAGTTGAAGGCAACAGCAAGTGTTTTCTTCTTTTCACTTATCAGCTTTTGGACAAATTCTGCTTCATATAAATGCAAAAATAGGTCTGCATCATGTAATAAAGGGGCGCAATCAGGTACCCATGGGAATTCTAATAGATTGTTGGAATACCTGGTCTCCAAAAGCCATATAGACATTGTCAATCAGAACTCAAGCATCTTTTTGTTGTCAACTTCAGAATATTTGTGTGCACAATCAGAATGACTTTTTTACCTAAATATTTTTTCAAGACAGTCTTAGCTCAACTCAAGGTGAGTGAATTTACGAGTTCCATTTTTATTGAAAAAGCAGCTCATTAATGTCAAAAAGCCTGGAATCTACTTTATCACGAGTAAGGGTTTTGTATAAAGTTGAAAAAACGTAA